CAGAGCAACGCTCTGGAGATAAGCGGAGAAAGCTGGCGCATCCCTAAACATTCCGGAAGATAGTGGATAGCTGTGCCTGGGAACTAGTGGTCAGTCAGAGAAGTTTTCTGTAAACAGGCGCTGGCTAATAAACCTTGCTGATTGAACCTGCATGGTCTCCAGGAGTTCTTTGGGCTAGACCTGACAGTCCCGTTTTCTTTGCATAAGAGACCTTAATCCAGCAGCACAGAGAACCGTCATGGCTGGAGACCTCTCTTGCTGCAGTGGATGACCAGGATGTCTAAGCGTCTTGTGCTCCTAGCATTCCACAATGCCTGCTGGGACTGCCTTCTTGACCACTGGACCGTTGATCAGTCTCCTCCAATCAATCTGCCAAGGCCAGACTTCACACGCTGGGACAGACAAATCCCTATCTCACTGAGAGTCGAAGAGAGTTGGCTACCCTCAGCTGGTTTGGACTGTCTCCAAGGAGCTTATTTAAGCAGAATAAAACCAACCATTTATTAAATATTATACAGGAGTCAGCATTTTCTGGCATTCTTACCTGAAGGTCATAACAAACTAATTAGCAACCATAATAAACTGAGCTAGCATCACATTCTTCTTGGAAGCAGAGTACTTATTTTCAAATGTATGTTCTCTGTTGCATTTGAGGGCCAAACACATTACATTTTGCATGTGTGTTTGACCTGTGAACATTTTTAACACGCTGTTCATCATCCATAATACAGAACGATTCCTGGAATTGTGTGATAGCAGAGATACAGGATATCCCACGCAGGGCCTGAAATCTGCCAAGGGAAGGCAGCTGCTCTCTGTTTTGCTCTAGCCTCTGCTCCTCCCCTCCTCCACCGTCATCCTTCCAAGACTGTCAGGAAGGAGCAAAAAGGAGGCCGGTCCCATTCATTCTCTGTGCCCCACCCAGCAGCGGCCATCTCACCAAGCTCACGTGCCCAGCAGATGAGACCAGACTGTTTCATTAGCTCTGCTGAGGGATCACCCGAACTGTTTCTTTTCCTGCAAATCCTCAGAAGACTCTGCCACAAAGAATCCGTGTCCCCCTCCCTCCTCCATTTCTTTTCCTTCTGGACCATTCAGGGCAGCGTTTCTCAACCTCGTCTGAGTTTGGGTCATCCAGGGCTGTTCTGGGAGACAAAGTCCACAGTCTCAGAGTTGCCAAGGCTGAGAAGCACTGAGGCAGGGCAATAAAGCACACGAGGCTCCGCTACAGCCTCATGAAGACTAGCTTAGCGGTGGACAGTGGGATTACAGCCCTGAGTGGCTCACGTGGCATCTGCTGACTACCCGAACTCACTCCTCTCCAGGATCTGAACACGGCAACATCCGGTCCTCCACACTAACCTTGGCCTCTGGCGCTCACCCACCGCAGCAGGTAGTTGCTAGTTTGCTGTAACAAAACATTATTGTCTCCTTCGTAAGTGCAGTTCGGATCATTATCATTACGAATATCACCCAGACGATTCACTGGGGGGGGAATAAACAGCAGACAAAACACACAAGCGTTACGAAGGAACTGTCATGTGTTTAAAAGCTACAAAAAAATCTCTCTTACTGAAAATTATGAGAAATCAGCCTCTGTCAAGGTTGAATGTAAGATTTTTAAAGACTGACCTCAGATTGGGGGAGGCATATAGCTTGCAAAAAACTGTGGTACTGAATTGCAAGTGCCCTGGAAACTCCCAGTTTTCTGTTTCAATTGAAAAACTGGAGTGGACCTTTAATTAACTAACCCACTTCTATCTGCGTTTCAATTTTCAAGCACCCAAGGAGCTTGGTAACAGAAGATAGGAAGTTCAGTCAAAGGCAAACAGCAGCAAGAGACAGCGATGCATTTAACGGGTAACACTGTCAGAGTTAAACTTTTAACTAGTGAAAAAGGAACACCATTTTGCACCAGTACATCCCCTCATGTGTATTTTGAGAAGCCTCCTCCTTCCTGGGTGCTGCTGCTGCTGCTGCTGCTGCTGCTGCTGGCAGGAGGTGTTTAGGAGGGATTGCTCAGCTGCACTTGGAAAAGTAGCAGTGCACTTACTGGCCAGATAGCCGTGTCCACCACAGGCCTCGCGACATTCTTGAATCCCTTGCTGGGCAAGCCAGGAGGAGAGTGGCTTGCCCGACGTAGACAAGGCATGGATCTCACGCCCCAGCTCAACCTTGTGAAAGAAGAAGGAAAAGCACAGTGGTCACCATTACAGCCCCCTCCCACTTCAGGCATATCCCCGCTGCAAGATGATGGCCTGTCCAGCAGCCCCTAACTGGGGAAAGGCACATGCAATGGAAGAACCGGACAAAACAAAAAACCTTCTCAGAGTTTCCTGCCTTGTAGCCTGTAACACGCACGTTCAGACTGAATTGATCTGCGTGTCTATTTAGCAAGTGTTCTATGGTCCAAAAGGAATTCCTGGGAATCTGATGGCATTCTTAAATGTCTAGATACCACACAAAAATGAAGGTCAAGACAGCCTTGGCTACGTGCTCATAATCTAAGTCTCTCAAAGAATGCCGGCCTGAGGAGCCCCTTTTCTGAGCGGAAAGGGGATGGGTACCACACAGCAAACCATCTTCTTTGCACTGATTATCCGAGGCTACAAGATGTGCCCCAGGCTCTTCTTTCTGAGGGGAACGTGCCCCAAATTTCTCTCTCCCAGCCACGCTCCTGCCTCCGTGACGTTTTGCCGCCCCTGTGGCCAGAAGCAGGGTCAGCAGGGACATCAAGGGATGCTGAGGCCCTGCTGTCTCCGATCCTCAACAGGGAAGTCACCCAAGGGTGTTTGCTTTGAGGAGTCTCCCCACGAGGCCTCATGCAAGCTGCCGGAAGTAACCAAATTTCAAGGGGGAGCAAAGAACAAGACTCATAAAGGACAATTCAAATTCTGAACCTGAAGAGGAAAAAACCTTACACGATTCAGAACAGTTTCCAGGAGTGTGATCTGGCTAATTTGCCAGACTTCCTTGTAGGATGGGAGACAGGAAGAAAGGTTCTGGTTTTGGCAGGATGTGGTGGGCAGCGCGCTAGAAGGACAACGGGGCAAAGGTCCAGGCCCACAGAAGGCAATGGGCAATGCCAGCCTGGGAAGGCCAGGGACTGCATGGGAGATGGGGCGCTGCTCCACACCTGAAGAGTGAGCAGGAGGAGCAGGATCCAGCCCTGCTCCTTGCTGCTTGGCTGGCCCGTTTCCCTTCCCTGCTCAGGAGCAGCTGCACCCTAATGGGATCAAGGAGAAAGGCGAGGAGAAGAAACAGAATAAAAGAGAACCAAACACCAATCTCCAAATAAGTTAAGAAAGCAATCTTAAAGGGGGATTGGAACAAAAATGACAGCTAACGGTCGAAGGGCCCCTCACTCATCCTGAGCTCCCATGTGCATAAGGAACCGATTAGCACAGCTGCAGAGAAGCTGGATTAAACAAATAAGGAATCTGCATGCCTAGTCTTGCTATATGGATAATCTATTTTTAGCTACTTTCAGATGTCTCGCCTGTATCTAACAGTTTCTGAAGGAGAGGAGGGGAGAAACAGTGAGGATGGATCAGTTCTTGAACCCTGGGAAAGAATCTTCAATTTTAGGAATAAAGGACAGGTCAGGATAGAGATTTATGTTAACATATGATTTTCATCTGGATTTTAATTGCATTAATGCTGCCTTGTTTATATGCTGCATTTTCTTTACAGTTTTATACCACCCTGGCTGTCAAAGAAGAAAGGGGCAAAAATTCAATCCCTGATGGAGAAGGCTGAAGTAATCACTGATTTTAGAAGAGAAGGCAGTTTCAGGAGGGGCAGTGGTGCTTCACAAGAAGTCTTAAGGAGACACACTCTTTTGAAAATGGAATGAAATCCCCCCAAAATGGAGGCTCAGCACGGAATAGTGTCATTATCTGCCGTTGTAATGGGTTCAGTTTAATCCATTACAGAGACTAAAACAATTATTAGGGCCACATGTAAATTTACAGACCTTGTAAATTTATCCAGAGCTTAAAATAGAATTTTAAAAACATATAAACTTCGTGTGCAGCCTATAACCCTGAACAATCCCTAAAGCTGTAACATTATGTAACAAGCTAAAATACAAGGGTACAGAAGATTTTCAAAAGACATCTATTACTTCTGAAAAGCAAACCTTTGTTCTGTTTCCATTCTGGGGTGGGACTATGGTTTGGAAAGATCATCAGCATGCATTTGGCATAATTTCAGCTTCTGAGCATATGCAGAAAGCATTCATCCCCCTACACCAGTATAGCTGGTGTTTCTGTCTCTCGTTTCTACCTGCACTCACAACTGCCAGAGTAAATGGTCAATAGCCGTTCTGTAATGATGAGCTGGACCATAAGGAAGGCCGAGCGCCGAAGAACTGACGCCTTTGAACTGTGGTGCTGGAGAAGACTCTTAAGAGTCCCCTGGACTGCTAGGAGGTCAAACCAGTCAATCCTAAAGGAAATCAACCCTG